GAGGCGCTCAGGAGCCTGTGCCCGGGCCAGGGGCTGACCCACCTGCAGGCAAGAGCAGGACCTTCTCCACTGCTGAGTGGCTGCACGTCTCTCTCAGACAAGTGACTAACACATCAAAAATTGGCTTCCTTGAAAAGCAAGGCGATTCTGGTCAGGACCTGTCCCTCCTCGTCCTCCTCAGCGTGGCATCCACAGCTCTCACTAGATTCTGGCTATCACAGTCGGCTGACACCAAGCTGTCACCCACCCACAGTGACTGCGCCCACAGAGCGGTCTGAGCCATCCTGACCCTCTGTTTCAGATCAGAGCACCATCTTCCACAGGGATTTCCTGGGTTTACTGCTGGAAGCGGATCAACCAGCCTTTCTGCCTTCTATTCTTGGTTGGGGAAACTGCCACAGCCGGTTCCACATCACTGTTTTGTTGGGTGTCTCAGTGCCAACTGTGATACTCAGGGGCCCTGTGAAAAATAGATCTGAACCTTGGACTATCCAGTGCCGTCCGCACCAGCTCCAATACGCTCAAGTCCATTGTCACAGTCACTGAACCAATCCGGCTTGTTGAGGGACTCCCTCTCTCTCTGACTCTCCACCTTTCCTTACGAGAACTGATCCCTGTGAACTGAGGTGCTGGAGAAGAACATTAAGCATTTCCGTGAACTAACAAAAGAACAAATCCGCCTTGAAAGACGTGTGGCCACACTGCTCCCTGGAGGCAGGGACGGTGAAACCTGGTCTCACATCCTTTGGGCACGTTGTCAGGACGGTCAGTCGTTGGAGGAGGACGTCGTGCTGGGAAAGGTGGTTCCACATCCTAGCAATAAACAGAGCTCCATGGACAGACTGGTGGTGACTGCACAGGACGTGACTTCACCTGGAACGGAACCTGGGTCTCCCCCATGGGAGGTGAGAATTCTACCCATGAAGCTCCAGGGCCTCACAGGCTTCACGGAAGCATTTAACATTTAATTGCTGGGGTGTGGGGGGTGTGGGGGGTGTGGGGTGTGCATATATATTACTTTTTAAAAAATTATAATCATGAATGGACTGCGGCTGGGGAGCACGCGCCGATCGCTGCGGCTCTACTCTTTCATTCACACTCTTCAGGCTGATTAATTTCCTCATTTCTGAACAGCTCACTGATCTCTTTATTTTTTTTCACCACTCCTGGGAAGATAACAGATTTGAATCAGCGGGCAGAAAAGGAATCAGTGTAGTGAGGTGGAGTCTTGTACCTAATTGTGCACCGGCGAGTGAGGACTGACCCCTAGCTGATCCTGCAGTGAGTTTTCAGAGGCAGGAAATCACGTGGGAAGAGAATGCCCATTCTCCTCCCACAGAGAGAGGCTGGTGGACTTGAACCATTCGCCTTTGGGATTACAGCAGCTTCTTGCCACTAGACCACTGGAGATCTTACATCTGATGGGGCTTCTCTTCTCTCCTCTACTTGCTGGAAACATTGTCCCAGCACCTCATCTTGCATTCTGAGGTACCCCATAGACATACTGAGGGGCCCTGAGGCCCAAGCATCTACTGATTGATGGGAGCCGGGGTCGGGGGGTACAAGCACCGGGGTTTCCTGGACAGACTCCGGGTGCTTGTCCACACGCCCAGCGCTAACTGTGCTTTCCTGGGGTCTGAATGGCTGTGGATGTGCACAGGGAAGGACGGAGGGAGGCACGGGGTGAGGGGGTCTATTAAACATGACATTGAACTACAGGGAAGAGAGCACACCTGGGGCTGCCTTCCCTCCTAGGCCTGCATGACAAGGCCCTGGCCTTTGTTGTTGTTGTGTACCATCGAGTCGGATCCGACCCATAGCTGACCCTCCAGCAGGTTGTCAGAGGTAATTAATCACACAGGAGGAGATTGTCCATCCTTCTCCCGTAGTGCAGCTGGTGGGTTTGAACCACATGCTGGCCTTTAACAACCTAGATTTCAGGAGCCTTCCCACACTCCCCATGTCCCTGTGCCTGTTCACTGTTGGTGCAAACAGCATGTCAGATGCCTCCTTCGCCTCTGAGAGCCCAGGTTGGTACTGCAGCCTCCTGCCTGGTGTAACAGGATCGGAGCTGACTCCACGGCACACAACAGCAGCAAGGCCGAGGGAGTTCACGTGACTAGAACCCGTTAAGTCGGAGTGTCTCTGACAGACTTCACCACATGCTTTTTCCTGTGTCTGACTGAACTAGACCCTAGTGGTGCTGTGGTTACAGCATTCAGCTATTCACCAGAAGATCAGAGACTCGAACCCACCAGCTGCTCAGCAGGAGAAGAGTGGGGCCCTCAGGCGTCCCAGAGATGTACAGCTTTGTAAATCTTCACTTGCGATAAAAAGTCAATGCCCAGAAATGTACTCAAAGCCTCTAAGGAATGTACTCAGATTGCCTCGGAGGCAAGCCCACTCTGTCTCCCAGGGGTCACAGGGTGGAATCAGCTTGATGGTGGAGGACTTGGCCTGGGTTTTGAGACTTTGTGGGAGGAGACTGCTGGATACTCAGTTCATCACTATCAAGTCAGGACAACTCATTGCCGATTTTCCATCATATTTTCAGAGGCTATAAATCGCACAGGAGGAGAGGAGTCCCCATCTTTCTCCCAAGGACAGGCTGGTGGATTCAAACCGCCCATCTTTGGGTTTACAGCACAACTTCTTACCCACAGGCACCAGAGCTCCCCTGTTGAATATCAGTGTCCCTTCTCTCTGGATTTTGCCTCGTGTGCCTTCCTCTCTCTGTGGCCCCACGTGGGTCAGAGGAGAGCTGGCTTTGTAGGGTCCTCATGGCTGATTCTGCAGGAATCGACTGCCAGGTCTTTCTTCTTAGGCACCTCTGGGTGGACAGGGACTTCCAACGTTTTAGTTAACAGCTGAACACATTAACTGCACCCCCAGGGACCCCAGAAGTGGGAACCAATACTACAGTCACCTTTCCCTTTGCTAATTTACCTTTGTGTCCTTCTGCTGTAAAAATTATTTGTGGTTTAAAAACAACCATAAACCCTCACTCAGCTGTGAGCTTGGAACGTGTGGGCACAGCTCCCTGGGTGCAGCTCTGAGTGTTCAGCTCCGTGGACACACCTCAGTGGGCACAGATTCATGGGCACACAGCTCCGTGGACACAGCTCCGTGGGCGCAGCTCTGAGGACGCAGCTCCATGGATGCAGCCCCGTGGATGCAGCCCCATGGGCACAGCTCTGTGGACACAGCTCCGTGGGCATAGCTCTGTGGACACAGCTCTGTGGGCACAGCTCCGTGGGTGCAGCTCCGTGGGTGCACCTCCGTGGACACAGCTCTGTGGGCACATTTCCGTGGGCACACTTCCATGGACACACCTCGGTGGGCACACCTCCATGGGCACAGCTCTGTGCCCAGGCATTCAACTGAAGAGAAGAGCTCACCTCGGCTCTAGGTCCATCAACTGCCCTCTGTGTTTAAGAAGAAGAGGATCCAGGAGAGAGGGGCGTCCCTCCACCACAGAAAAGACCACTGGTGCGGTTCTTGGTATTGGATGGTGGCTGTGATTTGCTGTTGAGTCCACTATGACTCATGGCAACCCTGTGAACAATGGCTCTGAACTTTGCCCTGTCTTGAGTCAAGCTCACTGTCTCTGACACACCCACCCCCATTGTCACAGTCACTGAGTCAGTCCATCTCATCCAGGGCCTTCCTCTCCTTCACTGACTGTCCTTCCAAGCATGATGTCCTTCTGCAAGGACTGGTCCCTCCTGGCCCCATGCCCAATGCACGTGAGACAAAGCATCTAAATCCTGGCCTCCAAGGAGCAGCCTGGTTCCATTGGGCTTGAGTAGTAGAGGCACACTAACCCACCGACTGCATTTTCATTTCCTTTTAATAGTAAATCCTCTTTGCCATTGGAAATACCAACACGTGATCCACTGACTCACAGAACCTGAATTCTCCAGCCAAGAGGAATGCTAGTGTCTGCTTTACCCCCTGGGAGCTCTTGTGGCCTCATGGGGAAGCAGTTCTGAAAACCAGCTGGAGGGTCCGCTTTTGAGTTGATTCCAATTCAAAGGTGGTGGTGTTCTGTACCGTCAAGTCAGAACCAATCCATAGCTGACCCTTGCACGATTTTCAGAGGCAGTTAATCACACGGGAGGAGACTGCCCATCCTTCTCCTATGGAGCAACTGGTGGCCTCGAACTGCATGCCTTCAGGATTGCAGCACAGCTTCTTGCCACTAGACCATCAGAGCACCCCTATTCAATAGTACATACAACAATGGCTTTGCCTTTGCTAAGTACTCTTTGCTTACACTCTAACCATTTCCCTGCTTATCAAGAAAGCCCTCAGTGGAGAGACCAAGTGGGGAGTTCAGGGATCACATATGCCAACAGAGACAGAGTTCAAAGATGGAAGAGACGGTCTTGAATTGGTTCTGATTTAACTGTCATAAGTTTGTGTGTTTTACTGTTTTATCACATGTATCATAGACCACAAGGAGCTCCGGCAGCTTAGCGTTAAGGAGCTGTGCTGCCAACTCAGGGGCGGGTGGTTTAAACTACCACCTGCTCTGAGGGAGAAGGACGGGCAGTCTCCTCCCGTGTACGATGTGCTGCTTCTGAAAACCCGCTGGAGGGTCAGCTGTGGGTCAGTATACAACAACCACAGACCACAGTACGGTGTGAGCGTAGTAAAAGTCACAGAGGCTCTGAGAAACCCTCCAGTGATTGTGACCTGCTGTGACATGGCACCGGCTTTGTGCGATGGTCTGGAACCAAACCCACACACCACCCCTCCTGGGCCTGTGTCTGAAAAATCTGTCGGAGGGGGAGGGCTGGCAAAGCAAGAGCTACAACATGGAGTGAGGACGGGTCCCAGAGTTGGTCCAGAAAGGTCCTTGAAGAAATCTCTCTGACAAAAACAGCAGGGGCTTAGCTGCTCAATCAGTTACTCAGAGCACTCTCCCCAGGAAATCTTCCCAGATGGTGTTTCCGTGTCCCGTGAGCCGCTGGCGTTTGAGAGGCCAGGGCGGTTACCGGTTATGATGCACCGCAGCACGACGTCCGACTTCTCCGGGACATTCTGGGAAAGCAGCGTCGATAAGAAGCAGAGTGCACGCTTTGGGGGTTCTCCTGCGGCTGCCATCCTCTCGTGCCACGCGGGGCTGAAAAACAGAAATTCCCAGCATCACCATTTGGTCTGGGATAAAGCTGACCTTCTCAGGAATCCAAGGAGCTGTGCTGCCCCATCAGTGACCCGCAGGGAGAGAAGTGGGAGGCTCTGGAGGGTGCAAAGGGCTAGCGCTCCACTGTGGAATAAAACATTGATGGTTCGAACCCAACCAGAAGAGCCTCAGAGCCAAGGTCTGGCAATCTGCTTTTGAAAGGAGTACAGCTCTATTCTGAACATGTGGGGTCACCTCGAGGCAGAATCAGCCTGCTGATAGCTGGTGTGTGTGTTTGTTTTTAAGGGGAGAAGGAGTGAGCTGCTGTTCTGCATGTTTACAAAAGGCTTGGCCAGCGGCAGCCAACAGGCAGGTATAAAATCCTAGCCCAGAGCTTCTCGGCCTCAGCGCCTGACCCTGTTGTGGGGACTGACCGGCACGCTGGAGGATGCGTAGACCGGCATCCGGGCTTCAGTCCACTAGATGCCATGGCAATCAGGAACGTCACCCTACTCTGTAGGATGTCCCCTTTGGAGATAGTCCCCAGCTGAGAGCCCTGATCCCAGGTAGATCCAAGAGCAGAGGGAGCCGAGATTCAGAGGGAGGGCCCGAGGGAGCCCAACACTGGGGCCACCCCATCCCACTTCCTCTTCCTCTCTCTCCTTATGACTAAAGACATCTTTCACACTGTTCTCAGATAAGTGCAGGTGCTCCTCGGCCTCTGAGGAGAGGAGTTTATCAATGCCCAGAAGTCTCCAGGAGAAGAGACTTAAAAACTGGGAAAATACTGCCACGTCTGAGTGCCCGTCAGGTGCCGGGGAAGACAGGGACCAGGCCAGCGTTTTTGAGAAAGCAGTTAGTCATCGATACAAGCAGAACACTCATTAGCCACAAGGTTATCTCACTTACTCTCTTTAAACTGCCAACACGATATTCTATTGATTCCTCTACCTTCTAGATGAGGAACCTGAAGCTCAGAACGATATAAAGAGCTCAAGGTCACGGTTCAAGTGCAGGTTGCACACCTTTCACGTGAGTGGTGCCTCCGGGGTTTGTACGGTGCACAACATGCATGGATGTTCACTGCAGCTACTAAAGACAGGTCTGTCTGGGTGCAGAGGCCTGCCCCTGCTCTCCCACCCTTCTCCGCTACCAGCACCCGGCCAGTCTGCTCCTTCGTGGACACATAAGCTTGGAAATGGCATTTAGCTCTTTGCAAACTCTAGTGCCAGCTCTCCCCAGGACTTGGTGACCCTTACACACCATGTTATTGTTGTTGTTAGTTGCTGTCAAGTCAAAGATGACTCTTAGTGAGCCTATGAACAGCAGCTCTGAGCCCTGTCCTATCTTGTGCCATCATCATCATCTCTGACACACTTGAGCCCACTGCTGCAGTCACCATGTCAATCCACCTTGTTGAAGGTCGCAGACCACGCTCGCAAAGGGCGCACTGCACATGAAGCTGGGAAGGGGCTGGGAAACCACAAAAGGTAAATTCAGGGATCCTGAGGGTCCTAAACCAGAAGCCCAAGTCCTGGTGGGAGAGGCTGGATGTAAAAGACCCCCATTTGTGCCGCAGACTCTGACCCTGGCGACCCCTCCTGGGCAGAACAGACCTGGGCTACAGGGCATCTCCAAGGCTCTGAACTTCCCGGAGTCTTTCTTCCAAGGCACCTTCTGGGGGTCAAGGAACAGCTTCCCTACGTTGATGTCACTCTCTTCTCTTGCCACCCGCTGTTCCAGGCTGTTTCTGATACTCTGGGAGACAGACTGCCCGGGTGATCTCCCTCTATGTCAGCTACACCTGAAGACTGATGAGTGGGAGGTGAGTGGAGGGAGAGAACTCAGCATGAGGCTAACCTTGGAGAGTCTTTGCTTCGGCAGCAGCTGTTTCTGCAGAGCCCAGTTCAAATCAGACAGGAGAGAGTCCTCACTCCTGGTTGTTGTTGTTGTTGTGTACCGTCATGTTGGAACTGACTCACAGCTGATGTCCAGTGTGTTGCCAGAGGCTCTAACCTGCATGGAGGAGACTGCCCATCATTCTCCCTCAGAGCTGCTGGTGGATTCGAACTGCACACCTTGGGGTTGACAGCGCAACTTCTTACCAGTAGGCTACCAGAACACCCTCAACATTTGTTTTTTTGGGGGGGGGCACAATCCATGGAGGTCATGAAGACTGGGTAGACCCTTGGAGCCATGACCTTGAGAGACTATTTAAACCTTAGACCCAAAATATCCCTAATGTTCCTTGAAACCAAACAACCGTTTCACTTAGCTAATAAGAAATGACTGAGCACTCTTCTCTTTTAAGAATTATCTCTATAGAATCAAACTGACAGCAGTAATGGAAGTTCTGGTGGCCTAGTGGTCAGGAGCTGCCCTGCCAAGCCAAAGGCATGCAGTTTGAATCCACCAGTTGCTTTGTGGGAGCAAGATGGGCAATCTCCTCCTGTGCAATTTATTGTTTCTGAAAACCCGCTGGAGGGTCAACTATGGATCAGATCCTATTCGACTGTACACAACAACAATGGAAAATACTAGACAGGAGCCTTACAGGGCAGTGAGCTGACCTCGAGGAGGAAGGAAAACTCGGGAGAGCAAGGCTGCACTACTCAAACGACATGATCAACGTCACTGAATTGCACGTGTACCAGTCACTGACTCGGTATCATTTTGCTGTTTGATTTCTCAGCAACCACCTCCAGGTGAACATATTTCCTGTATTATTTTTTTAAATTTTATTTTATTAATTTTAATGAATATTTACAGAGGTTTTGGATTGCCATTCATTCATTATTACACTTTTCTCCTTGCCCACCCCCAGTTCGCTCTTCCCTTTGAAAAGTAAAAGAAAAATTCCTTCATTGGTATACAATCCCCCTCCCTCCCCAAGTACGCTCCACTATGCAACCTTCATTCTAGAGTCTTGTCATAACCATAATACCCAATCATATATCACTTTTAAACTGTTCTATCCCTCATCTTTTTCAATGAAGTATACATAACTTACCCAATTTTTTCTCAGTCTCATCCCAACCCTGATATCAGTCCCGTTCTACAACAGTGGCACTATGCAGTATTTGTCCTTTTGTGACTGAGATACTTCATTCAGCATAATGTCCTACAGGGTCACCCATTTTGAATAATATTGCATGAGTTCCTTGTTTTTCAATGCAGCATAGTATTCCATCGTGTGAATATAGGATACTTCCTCTATTATTTCTAAAGTTCTCCTGGCCTAATATTCACCTGCGATGGTGACTTACAAGACATGAGCCTTCCAAGCCCATTTTGGGGCCCAGTGCTGTTTGTGGGGTACGGGGTGGGGGGAACCAACCCGGCCAGAGCTGGGCTGACATTGGGGACTGTATATGTCATCGGTGACTCATACCCAGGCAGTGACTTCCTGATGGTTGTGCTACATGTGAAAATATTGAGAAAGGCACAGTACTTGACTCACACTGGCCACACAGCATGGCTGGCCATGGGGTACTGACTGTGTTCATCAAAGGAAGAGGACAATTAAGTCAGGACGGGGTTCAGGTTTCGTGGCTTCCTCTCAAGGTGAAAAACCCTCAAGACAGATTTACTCTCCTTTACTAGAGATAACTAATCCATATACTGAATTACCAGAAGCAGGGGAAGGGGCTACGTGAGTGGAGGGCTTCTCAGACAACTGTGTAAAGACAGCGTGTTAACTAGAAAGAATTTTTCTATTTATTGTGTAACAGAACAAACTTCTTTTTAAATCAGTTTTATTTCCTTATCACATGTTTCTAATTTTGGCAAAATATTGACACAAATTGGTTTTCCATTCATCAAACAGACACATTGTATTTCATGGCATGAATTACAAAATCCCTTACGGGACAGCACCCTTCCTATCTCCTCCCTGGGCTTCCAGTTTCCACGCATCCTTTTTCCTGACTTCTGACTTTTGTTTTGAAGAAAATTCTGCCCTTTTGGTCTCACATAGCAGCTGGTTGTGAATTTGCTTTCACATATGCGGGTTCTAAGTAGATATATGGACATACTTAAGAATCCATATAATGGTGCCTTGCTGAAAAGACCATTCCTCAATCTGAGTACTCTCCCTAGAGGACGGATTTGGTATCTTTTCAGGCATTTTTCTCTTCTTTTGTACATACAGACATCTAAAATGTACACAGCATTGCTATGTGTATGCTATTGAGTTCTAAATACTATTACGTGATTGGTTTTACATAATAGCAACTTTTGGTGATCAATCTAATCCAATCCAACCCATCTTTTAAGCACTGGTAGATATTAGTGAGGGCTCTCTGGTGGCCTCGTGCTAAGAAGTTGTGCTGACAACCCAAAGAGATGCAGTTTGAGTCCAGGTGTTCCTTGGAAGAAAGATGGACAATCTCCTCGTGTACAATTTCCTGCCTCTGAAAACCTGCTGGAGGGTCAGCTGTGGGTCGGTTCTGACTCAACGGCACACAACAGGCCACCAGAGTTCCCTCCTCCATAGTCCAGTCAGTACTAGATCAGTGTTTGCTGCCATTAGTGGCTTTGGGTTTAACTCCAGCAAAATGACACACATACAATCTTTCTCACAAGTCCATGCAGAACCAGAGGTTAGAGAAGAGTTCTTTGAGCCCTAATGCCCTCAAGTGATGATTCCAAGTTTGATTTGATTAATCTGCCCCAAAGAGAGCAGAGCTGGCAGCACAATGCCCGCCATCACCTGACAAGGTTGGGAGTTCGAGGCCCACGTGCAGCAGGATAATGGGGCCAGCAGAGTGGCAATCCAGTGCGTCCTCAGTGGGGACAGGAGGGATCAGTCCTGATTACCCAGTCTAATCCAACTGCAATGATGTTCTGGAATGTACCATCAGAGTGGTTGTGGATTTGGACAGCACCTCCACTGTCAGTCCCATGTTATATACAGGAAACCCCTCCCCAGAGATGAGTCCTGGAAATGGAGGGGGGTGGGCAGGAAGCCAGCTAACAGGAAGTGGGGGTGTGCGCCATCAGTCAGCACCCCAACCTTGGGCACACCATATACGTAATCCCATTTAATCCGCTAGACTGGTGTTCTTAACAACATGGAAATTTAAGGAACTTCAAGGGGTTGATGTAGCACCCCTAATTTCTCATGGCAGGGTAACGTTTACATGTTGTACAGCTAACTGGAGGGTCAGCAGTTTGAATCCACAGGAGAAGGATGGGCAATCTCCTCCCATAAAGACTTTCAGCCTCAGAGCTTTTGGTTTGAGCTTTTGGGTTTGCACGTGGTGGCTAGGAAACGAGTCCAGGACTGGCACAGCCCAGACGATGTGCTCTTTCTAGAGTGTGACTTTCGGGTCACATGTGGAGATTTGGGGGAGCCCTGGTGGAGCAGTGGCTAAGTGTCGGGTGACGAATGCAGAGGGTGGTAATTAGAAGCCATCGGCCACCCCCACAGAGGAAAGGCAGGGCAGCAAGCTGCACGGAGAGA